TTCATCGTGGAAGAAGACTTCTTCCTGACCTTCAGCAGGTGATTACTTTGTGTCCTGGTGCATGAAGGTAGAAAGGCTGCCTTAATTTTTACTTTGGCCAGTGTCACCGCAAATGCACAGTCCTGTTTGAGTACTAATTGAGTTTTTTCAGTTTGCTGGTTTGTGTAATTGAGAAGCTTGTTGCTCATGGAATTTTGTTTTTCTCATAAATGTTTAACCTAACTTACAGAAAGAGGGCATTGCGAAGGGTACAGAAGGGCAGACACCATGAAGTGGACTGGGAAAACAACACTGGTAGTGACAACACGGACACTGAAGGCTCCTAATAGCATCAGCCCACCTGCAACGGGAATTACAAAAAGTTTGCTGGGGTTATAGTGCAAGAATCTTCCCTTCTGCCCATCTGAGCTGATTGACATTTAAAACTTTTTCTCAATAACCACCTTGAACATTTACCACGTTGAAGGCACTGGACTGGGATGCAGGAGATCTGGACTATATTTCTGCCTCTGCCATAGCAATCCTATGTGACCTTGGCCTGGTCACCTAACCAGTTCACGTCTCTGTGATTCAGAACCCTAATTCTTGTATGTATTTAATGGGGATGATGATGTCCTTCCAGAAGTGGTATGAGTCTAAATGAATTAAACTCCAATTGCTCTAGTAGAAATCCTTACCATCATGGTGCTATGTTAGTGCATTGTAGTATTCTGTGCAAAAAACACATAAAAAAATACTTTATTTTCTTCAAAACTGGACTAAACGGTGTGCTAAAACTATAAAATATGCTAAAAATTGTTGCTATGGCAACACTACACAACCGTGGGCTATGGAAAAACCCTCTGTGTCCATATTCAACCTATTAGCTTAAGAAAATATTTTTCTTATAATTTCCAGAAAAATAACCAAATGAGGGAGAATGTAATACCAATTAATGCCTCAATTCCACGATTGCTAGCACCCTCAGTTAAAAAATAACATGCCATCTTCCCCTTCCCCCCCCCCCCCCCCC